ACTGAACATTCACAGTAATCAATTAAATTGCTTAACAGAATTTGGCATGAAAGACCACACTAATTCTTATTATTACCATTTTCAGTATATATTATTATTTTTGTGTTTCAAAATATAAACTTAAATTATTTATGAATTTATCTATCAAGACATAAAAAATGAATATATATTTTTAATCCATTAAATAAATAAATTCATAAATGCACTTTTGGCAGTACAGAATTATTTAAAACTTTTCTTAAATCTTAACTGCTTACCTATTTTCTACAAATAATAAATTTCCTTTTAAATATCTCATCATATTGTTGTTGTTGTGATAACATAAATATTTTATGCAAGAAGCATTTTCAGATACTTCACATTTCGTACTTTCGTATCTTACTGAAGCAATTTTTAATCAAACATTGTGAAGTACGAGTGGATGTACTCATACGTACGTTTCTTATGTTGGTTTTATAAGGTCTATATAAATATTTCAAAAATGTCTTTTCTCATCAAAATATTTTAGTATATTATAAACCACAAAAGTTGCTCAACCCTTTATGAAGTAGTACACTATAAAAAAAAATTATAATATTGGAAGTTTTTGAATAGTGTGCAACCAAGGATGGACATTATGTATGCATTTGTCTTAGTAAAAATAGTCATTGTGAAAACATTTATAAGTGAAAATAAACTATAGAATAATATATATAGAGAAGAAAAAGTTGGTTATGCTTTAATTTATTTTGATTTACAGAAGAATTTAAAATCATTGTTTATTCATTGTGTTCATTATTCATTGTCAGTGTCTGCTGACCTCTGATGATGGAATTGTGGCAAACTCGATTTAATATGAAATTTCCAATTCAACAAAAATAAAACCACAACTCGAATTGCAGCTTTTCTTTGCTTAACGAAGACACTCGAGTGCTCACTTCAAGCATTAAATTAAAAATAACGAATTCTGCTGGAATTCTGGATTATTAATGCTTCTAGAACTGAAACTGAAGAATATGCAAAGAGGAGGTTGAAGTAGGGGTTTGATTTTCGAAAAGAACCCAAACCGCTGAACAAACAAGCATATTTTCGAGAAAATAAACTCAAGCATTTTATGCAATTTATTTTGTATATAAGTACTTTATGGCTAAAAAAAAAAATAAATTGAAATAAAATAATTGATTCAAGAGAAGTGCACTTTTTTGATATTATTTAAAAATTATTTAAAAAAGAAAATGGCAAAGAAAAATTGTCATAATCCTTATGCATAATTTCATATGCCATACCTTATACATACACACATACATACTCGTATGATTAAGGTAGCAAACCGTATTTTCCGGTATTTTACTTTGACTTCCTCCTTCTGTTAAAATTTTGAGAAAAAAAATGTTAAGTTAACAGAAAACATTTAAAACTGTTTTTTTTTGTTTGTGTGAATAAGCTGTTACCATTTGAAGTTGCAATGAAAGGTAAAAAGAAACGAATTAGTAAAGGAAAAAGAGCAGATAAAAATAGAAAAAAGTTAAATAGACACAACGAACTAGCAATACACAATCATACATACAACCAAAAAGATATAGAAACGAAAGGAGATACAAGCACAATTGCACATCGAGTGCCACATAGAAACACTCAATGGTGAAGTCACATAGTATTGAAGACATACACAGTCAATGCAGCCAATATGAAAATATAAACGTAAGGATACTAATAGCAATTGAAACAAATCTATATGAGCGCATAAAGAGTAAGATATGTGAGCAGACAGACAGACGTATGAATATACGTAAGGACAGACATGTTATCGGGTGGTGGACATAAAAATTGAAATCAATTGCAGTTGATATCAGTTTGACCTAAATTTTTATTGAATATCTTTGAGTATTACTCTTTCCATTTTGTATGAATGCAATTGCATAAATATAAAAAATATTTATATATGTTAATATGTGTATTTTTTGCAAACTCATACATAACTATTACATTTAACTTTGTTTATGGAAATCATTGCACAAATTGCTGTTGGTTATTCTTTCAACAACAATTCTTCGATTTGTCACCCAGTGTAACTGAATAACCAAAACCATTGATGATAATTTACATATTTATTTGCTTGTAAGGATACAGATATATTTGCCTGTGGGTTATCGACTTCAATTTATACAGAAAAGAGCAAATCTATTTTACTGCTCTTATGTTTTAATTTAAATACTCAAATTTTATTAAATGAATTTTTGTGTTTATTACATACAAAAACTTTTAAGTCTCAACTGCAGTCATTTCAGTTTATCTTGATTAAAAGAAAGCACAAAGACCAAACAATTTGAAAACACAAATTGAAAATTCTCGAACAAATATGCAAATATTACAATAAAATAATAAGAATGAATAAAGTATATTATATTTTATTATTTATAAAATTTTTTTTTTTTAAGAAATAAACATTTATTTTAACTTCTTGGCAAATAATATAAATTCGCTCCTGGCAACATTGCTAACGTTGTTAGCTTAATTAAATAAAATGGCGCTATGTTGCTACCCGGAATAAAAATAAAATAAATATAAGTAAATTAAATAAAATAACAACAAAATGTAATAACAGAAATATATATAATAATTTATATTAAATTGTAAAAAATGTGCATTATTTTATGTGCATTATTTCAAAGCATTAAATGGAATTTTTATGAAAATGTCAAAAAATTAAAATTATCACTCATACGCAGTGTTGTACAAAATAAAAACGAAATAAATAGATGAATTCATAGAAACTGTGTTGAAAGTTGAATAAAAGGAATAAAATGAAAGCATGAATGAAATATTTAATTAATTAAAGTTATCGATACGTACATATATACCATATATATATATTTAATTATGTAGAAACCAATACTGAATTGTGGGATGAGCTTAATAACAAGTAACCGAAAAAACACAAAATATAAAAATATTTAAGCTTCCCCTGTTTTATCCCCTGATTACTGGAATGTGATTCAGTCGAAAGTCGTTCACAGTCTGCTGGTTGTGTTCTTCTCAATCCATTCTTAACAGGTGGATTAAGTGGGTTCAAGTCTCACACCACAAAAAAAAATGTGAACTCAATGTTCTTGACAATTAGTAGTTGGAACTAACAGACACGGTGAGCTGCTTGCATTAACAAGAGATGTAGTTATGCGAACGGAAGCCACTCCAGCTTTAACTCAATAACGACATCCGAGAATAGAATGACGAAAAAGGATCCAAGTAGTTTCGTGGTCTATTTCGGCTAATCCTTCACTTCAGTGGGGCCACTTGTTGGACGGTGCGCCGTCCCAACGTCCCACCATATATAAAAAGAAAATAGACGCAGCATAAAGGAATTTAATTCGATTAGTAGATTCATTTCTAAAGAACTAGATGAAAATAAAAATCTAAAAAGTTTTTAAGTAGCCCAATAGATCCAACTATAATCGCAGTGCATCAAGTTTTTCTTGGATCTCTACTTATTGAAAATGAAGATTTCCTTTTTTTTTGTAAAGGACCTTTTAGATTGTTTTTAATAATTTATTAATAATGCTATAAAGTGTTTATTAGCAAAAAGTGCTAGGTGCTATTAGAAAAAAAGCATATTATAGTAAAAATGTATGAAAATAAAAAGCCTATTAGTTGTGAAGGGGCACATTAGATCCATTTATGGTAGCAGTACACCCAGGTCTTTTGAATCTTACGTCAATAAAACTGAAAATTGAAGTTAATAGTAAAACATTGCAGTGTATATTTACAAAAATTGTTGGAAACTAATATCAGATAATGAAAAATTCAGAAAATAACACGACTATTAGCTTTTAAGGAGCAGTACTGATACATCAGTGGTCACTCTGCACTAGAAAGCAGGTCAGTAAAGTTTATTAGTTGCGGTTATTGGTTTTTTTTTCGAAGCTCTTAATGAGGAAAATTAGTATTTTGGAAAATAAATAACCAAGCTGGCTTAAAATTTGTTGTGCCCATTTCGGAGACTAAGAGTGACTTAGAGAGTCGTAAGAATGAATTTTTCAGCACAAAAGATATTTGAAGCAATAGTTGCAGGAAAAAGGCGTAGAGATAGATCGTATCATCGGTGGAGTGATCAAGATGCGGGGATACTAACCGGACTTGATGCATGTGACTTAAGAAAGCGCGCTGTGTCAGAACGCAACCCAATAACGGTTTGTTATGGTCACATAAGTAAGTAAGTAAATAACAAAATGTTACTTTTCACTGGACCATAAATAGGTTTTTGTCCTACAAGCAAATACTGCTCAAAATGGTTGTCACCTTTACAAGGAAACAAAGTACCCTTGAGCATAGTCTTTTCTCTATTCTTCTCTTTTCTATGGTATTGTTTTATTCTTTTTCTGTTATAAAATAGTTCTAGAGAAAAAATAAACGCAATTCTCAATGGTATTTGGTCATTTTCCATTTAGATAGATTTTTTGTCATATGACAGCTTTATATGAATTATGTTATTAAATTTAAAAAAAAAACATATATTCTTATATGTTATTTTTTATCAAAATAATGATATTATTAAAACTAAAAATATATTTTTATATGCGTAACAAAAAAAAATATATATATAAAATAGTAAGAAAATAAGTTAACTAATTAAAAAATTTGAGAAAAACTTGGCTTGGTTTTCTATTTTTTATTTATATATTTTTTATGAATATGCCCTTTTTATTTATTTATTTTTATTTTTATATATTATTTTCTTTTTATTATTTTATGTTTAATTAAATTATACTAAGTTTTGCTAAATACTGCAAACAGTCTGTACATCAAATTTATTTATTTTTTGTGTGTTTAATATATATCAAGACTAATATAGATACAAATCGTAACTGTTGGTTTTTCTTTTAATTTTTCTAATTTATATAACTAAGTTAAAGTATATACCTTAAGCTACCAAAGTACCAAACAAGCTTAAAAATACATTTAATTATTTTTTTTTATTTTTTGCTATAATGTATTTAATAACAACTTACGAGTACTTATGCGATGCGTACGAAGACTTCGAAGAATGTTAATATGATATTTCGTTTACTTTTTTTCACTTTAATTGCTAACATTATAAAAAACTAAATAAATATTTAATATAATTCAAATTACCTACATTTTTACTAAATGGAACGGTGCGATTCATCTCTTCACATATGGCTTCGATCTCTGTGATCTACACTTCCACAACAAACCGAAGATGCGTAAATGTAAATTCGTGACTAGCGTCCGCAGCGCCTTCAAGTCTAGTGTAGCTGCGGCAATCAGTAAAATCATGCTAAAACTGAATGCCATCGACGAAGCTGAGGAACCCAAATTACCTTTAGTCAATTGATCTTGACAACGACCGATCGAGTCTATATCAAGTTCAATCATTGCACGTCCATTCACTTCCAACGGTGAAATGCAAAAGTTTTTCTGCAGAAAGTCGCTTAAATTATGCGCACCTTCCGATAGAGGACCATCAAGTAGTGTATGTATATGACAACCACAAGGAAAGTGATTATTAATCAGTTGTAGATGAGTCACGCCATCAATGATTATGCTATTTGGATCTGGTGTTTCGAGTATGTGATTACCATGAAATTTTAGATGCTTTATTGCTGCCGTATAGGTAAAATTAAGTTCTTCAATGGAATCAATTTTATTATTCAATATTTGTAGCGTTTCTACTTGTGAGAGACCAGTAAAAGCATCTGCACAGATAATGCCTAGATCAGATTCCTGCAACGTTAGCAGCAGCACATTAGAAAGACCACGAAACGTGAAAGGCATTAGTTCTTTTAAGTCCATATAAGCTAATTTTAATAGTCCTACTGTATCCATTGCATAGAATGCATCCGGTTCTATCGTGCGTATACCAGACGGTAATATTAAATGTCCTACATTAGTTAGACTTGAAAATGCTGCGGTTTCGATTCGCACCAGTGGATTGTTTGTTAAGAGTATTAGTTTTACATTTGAGGTGCCGGCAAAGGCGTTACCTTCTACACAAACTATCTGATTATGACTAAGTAAAATTGTGGATAAATTCTGTAGACCGGCGAATGCAAACTGTGCCACTGTCTGTAGTGGTGTATACTGTATTGAGAGTTCCTTAAGGCGTGGCAAACCACGAAAAGCAAATTGTTTTATTTTGGTTATATTATTACCATCCAAGGAAAGTTTCTTCAGCGCACGTAGACCGGTGAATGAATCTGGTTTTATGACCGGAAAATTGTTTTTCGTTAATGCCAGATTCTCCACAGTTGAAGGTAATTGACGTAATGGAATTTGCCCAAGTCCGCCAGTGTTACACAGTACCTGTGGGTGTGAGAAGAGAAAAGCTTATGTTAAATAAATTAACTGGAAAATATATTCATTTGTTTACACATTTTTCCCTAAACTCACCAATTCCCCAATTCCCTCGTGAATTTTAAAGTGTTTGTGTAGATTAGTAGGTGTATTTGATTCTCTGTGTGTATGTATGTGTGTGTGAGTGTTTCTTTTACTATCTGTGCTTGTAAGTAAATTAAATTGTGCGACATTATTGCAGCAAATTAAATTAAATCGATTTTTTTTTACTTTTACTTTACTTTATCAATGCTAGCGTCGCGTTGTTGTTGGTTCCTTTTTTTTGCTTTTGTTGTTTTTGTGTTTTTGCTTGGTAAGCTGTGGTGAATTTTGAAATTTCTATACGTAAAACTGCAATTTGGGGGTTTTGGATTTTGCTGGTAAATGCGTGGAGAATTAAAATCATCAGCAATATTGAACTGTGCGTGATTTTTGACTAATTGCATTTTTGGTTTTTGGATGGAAAGATTTTCTACTACAAAAATTTCCTATGTAAATGTTTTATTGAAATTATTTTATTTCAATTTATGCAGATTTAGTTATTAAAAAAGCTTTGTATACATTCTGTTTAAATTTTTATTGTTATGATTTTATTTTAAAAAATTTTTAATTTATCGGTAAATATTTTTGGTTAAAATTTGTTATAAAATGAAATCTCTTTATTAATGTTAAAAATAAATTAAAATTAGAAATAAATTTCCTTAAAAATTTTAGCCAATCAGGAAATGTTTTTTGTTAAATAATCATAAAAATATTTAATTAAAAATTTAATTAAACCAAAAAATATTTTTTATTAAATAATCATAAAAATTATTAAATATTTATTATTTTTTGACATCATTTTAATTATGTGTTTTTGTAGGATAATTGGTGAAACTTTTGATTGTTGTTAAACATAAAAATTAAGAAAAAGAAACCACGATTTATTTTAATTTACAATAACACAATACTTATAATTAACAATAATTTTCGGGTTTAATTTTCCAAATGACGATTTTTTTGGTTTTTTTCTAATGATAAATATCGTTTCCATATTTCTTTCTCTTAATATTTATTTTTAACAGCAATAAATAATTTGTTCAATTAGCCTGTAAAAATACTTTATAAAAATCATTAAGAAATACAGTAGAGGCTCAAAAATTAGAACTTCAAATTCGAATTGTCCAGTATTTAGATCCAAAGAAAATTGCAATTCATTGTATAAATTACAAGCTCTAAAGTTAAAACTTTAGATTTTAATTTTTAAGCAAATTGTCCTTTTTGTTCATTTTTTAAGTTTTGTATAAATTAATAAGTTGATAAGTGTTATTGTTTGTACTTTGTTTCAAAGAAAATAAAGCAGGGAGTTTCCAAAGGGTGTTTATGTTTGAATGAAATGCTTTCAAACATAAAAAAAATTTCATTTTATGTAATTTTAATTAATTGAATTTTTGACTGACAGCTGTTTCGAGTATTGCCAAAACCTATTATCAGTGGTCTTGGAATTATGTCATATTTAATTATTCATAAATAATTTTTTTGAAATTGCAAGTACCAAAGGATGAACTAGTGCCCTGCCAAATTTGAAGCTCAGAGACAGCGCATCTTAATCAATTGACTTAAGGTCGTACTTGACTTTTATATTCGAACATTCTTCTAGAATTTTGTTAATTTGCTGTAAAAGGTTTTATTAACAAATTTACTTGCTGTGTTTATTTTAGAACGAAATCATAAACCAGCTGTAGAATAAATGAATTAATTAATTATATTTTTATTTTTTAATTGTTAAATTTCTATAGTATTCTGTTTGTAGAGGCATTATTTGTTGCATGATTTATATATTCTTTCTTATGTATAGAATCAAATCTAGGAACGTAATATTGAGAAAGTCATGCTAGTGTTACTCCACGATTAAGTCCAGAAATTACAACTTTTTGCAAATTCGAAATTCTCGAAAAACCAAATGGTTCTTATTTGTGAGCTTATACTGTATTTTCAAAATTTTTTTTAATTTTAATAGTAAATAATTTTTTTATATAAATTTACGTTTCAGTTTGTGTTTACTTAATATACGCATAACAATTTCAATTTATTTTATTTCTTTCTTTACTTCTTATTTCTTTTGTGTTATTTTTATTTTTTTGTTAATGTTCTGTATTTCAATAATTAAATCTGATACACACTAATTAAATGTAATTTTCTTACTGGCAACAATTTACTTATTTCGATTTTAATTGCGTCCTCGAAACCGAAAATTGTTCATAATGAAATGCCAGGATCCGTTGTAAGTTCGGAATCATCATTTCATTGCCCACATAATCTGGAATAATGAAATCACTTAAATTCCCAATTTACCAAGGAATCGCATACAATGCAACAACAACAACAACAGCAGCAGCAGTAACAGCAGAATTAACAGCGAAAGTAGTAGAAAAAACAACAACAACATCAACATTGTAAAAAGGTAGGATTCTCAAGTGTATTCCCATGGGAAGTAATTTTAACAAAAGCAACAAAAGTATTAAAAGCAGGAAAAAGCAACAATTTTTTAACTCAATCCAAGTATAAAAACGTTAAAGCAGAAATATTAACAAAAAATAAAAAACAAGAAGGAACAAAAATAAAAACACAAATAACAAAAAGTAAAAAGCGAAACAGCAAAACAGCGAAATGTAAGCAGCTACGAGCAAGCAACCAGCAAAAATCAAAAGCACAAAACAAGAGGTTGTGAGACTTTCTGCTGTTGTTGTTGTTGTTGTTGTGAAAATTGTTGTAATTTCCTACAGCCATTAATGTTGTTTCGCTGTTCATTTTGTTTTTGCTTCTTTCTCCATGTTGTTTTGATATTGTTTGTGTGCATTTGTTATTGTTGTAGTTACTGTAACTGTTGTAGTAGTTGTGCTTATTTTCAATTTACTATTGTTTTGTTAAAAAATTTTCAAGTGTATTTAAGTAAGTCAAAAAAAAAAAAACACTAGATAAAAATTTATAATAAAAAAATAAATAAATATAAATAAATGTAAATAAAATATAATAAAATAATATGAAAAAAAAAAAAAAACAAAAACAAATATAAAGGAAATGTTATGGAAGAAAATTTGCTTAAGCATCGTCATGATAATAAGTATACTTAGCATATACTTGGTAATATGCTAACGAAGGCTTACTTGAGTTTGGGATAAGCAAATGCATTCGGCTGGACATGATTTTGATGTTTCAGAGAGTCGCGAATTCCATAAGCATCCAACAGTAATCACAATTATGAGGAGCCAAGAATTGCACATTTCACGTTCACGTTCCGTTTCACTCTTCACTTGATATAATGCGATGCGCAACGTTGTATTAACTGAAAGTAAAAATAATAATAATAACAATAACAACATGGATAAGAAACGGAAAGAGAATAATTATAGTATGAATAATGATAAAGAAGCGCATTTGCGGATATGCAGAAAATAGATAAGATTGAACGGAAGAAGTAGTAAAACAGATGCGTCAAAAGAATTAATTAAATTTATTCACATTTTCTACTATGCTTCTTTATTTACTATCCTCTTGTTTACTGAAATGAATATTAATTTTTTTACAATAAAGAAATTAAAATTTATAAATTTGATTTTATAATAATAATGAGAAGAAGTTAAAAAGTTAAGAAAAACTTCTTAGTCGTCACAAGAAAATTTTTATATATAGATATATATAGTATATAGTATATATATATAGTATAGTTATTATTATTTTACATAAAATTATAACATATTTCACAGTAAACGATATCAATATATGAAGTAATTTTTGTACCGATGGGCGTAGTAGCTGTTTAAATGGTCATAACAATCTATTACCGGGTAAGCAGCTGTCATTTAATAGATCATTTAATAGTTTGTGCCTGGTTACAAAATAACAATCTGATACATTATTAAAAAATTACTTCCCTAAAAACCAATATTTTCTGGAGGCTAGATGCGGTCATTCAAAGCGAAAATGTTTTTATTTTTCTTTTTCTGATAAGTTTTTACAATTTCTTTTACAATAAGTGAGTATTGAAAAGAATCTGAAAATCATCTGTGGGTATTTATATACCAGTAACTAGAGAAAACTATAGTAAGCCTTGAATTCCTAAGTTCGAGTCTTACTGGTTGTTATGTCATTATTATGTAGCCCTTCTCTACACGATCTTCAGAGAAACAAAAAGTGGAACCCTTCAGGATATATGAGGGAAAACAGCAAGGCAGGCCAAGTTGTATACTTTTTCATTCCTTTCATTGTTCCTATCTCCAAGAACCCGAATAAGAGCAATATAAGCAAGCCAGTTTGCCTTTCTACGTAATTTAACTAGGTTTGATTTTGTTATAAAGATATGAAAGGCTTTAATTGCGGATTGAAAATGCTTTTCAAAGCATAAGTATGGATTCAGATATGATAATTGATGTCATCTTATATAGGATGTTTGAAACTGTGCGTAGAATCCAGAAAATAATGCATTTTCAATCCAGAAAATGCATTTTCAATTTAGCTTGCTATTCAGTAAAAATCCTTGGTATTGTTATCTGTTGTTCATTTATGAAAGCGGAACTAAAAGCTGGTATTTTGGTTTTAATGATGAACAGCATCATTTTGGTCGTTACTGAATTAATACCAAGTTCACAACAAATATTTATTTAATCAAGGCCCTTTGCATAAAAAAACTATAAAAGTTCTATTATCACAACCAACAATTTTTACAAATAGTCTTAGTCTTTTAATCGGTATAAGGTAAATTTATTGTTCGATATTTCAAAAATATTGACTCGATTTTGTTATATTCTCAAAACTTCTATATACAAATTATTTAAGTTTAAAATTGTTTTGAATATTTGAATAAATGTATACCTTTTCGTTGGATTTTTAATAATCTATGATTTAGTCAAGACTTCTGCACCCAAAATCACTAGTTATGTGGACTTTATCACGAGCAGAGCTGTATATTACTGATTGATTTTGTAATTAGATTGCTCTGTAATTGTGATGGAATTGGTAATGGAATTGGTTTTGCATAACTCTGATCTGGATATTGATATTATTTAGTGAATTAATATTGTATAAGATTGGATATTATGCTGATTATGTCATAGGAATGAATGACGTCGCTCAATTAAAGAGAACGTTTGAAGCGCCAGTTGAATGAATATTTCCTCTTTATTTTTATACTGGTTTCATTACTATAAGTAAATATATTTGTATTTATGAGAGGATTCATTAAAGGTTTCATATATTTTATATAAAAGATATCACCTACTTTCAGTAAGATTTCTAAGTTCATTTGAATTGTTCACTTTTCCTTCTCTGGCTAGATCATATTGTGAAGAAAAATAACGTTGCTCAAGCATGATAGTTATTCTCAAGCAAAAAGTATCAAAAAATATGGGTTCTTCTGATTTCAACAATATTAGTCAATATTTTTGGATTCCTGAAAGGATTCATATATTCTATCTCACATATATTCTATATATTCACATTCTATATTCTATATTCACATATTATTCTATATTCTATATTACACAATTCTAATGTGGTTATCATACAGCGAAATCTGATAAACACAGGTAGATACAAAGATATCAAATCCATCATATTATAAAGCCGCGTATTCAGTTATTCTTAGTGTGACTTAAAACTGTCCACAGATTTAATAAAGTTAAGATGATATATCACCAACTCAGACATCTGTATATCAATATAAATCATTAAAGTTATTTACTACTCCCTCAATCTTTGACAGTACTAGTGTTTTGTTAAAATTATGTGATAATATATTTATTATTTTATATCTTATTATAAGATAAGACATTCTTATAAGGTATTGAAAATTACATAAGATAAGACTTCTTCACATAACACATCGATATTTTCAAACTTCTTAATCAAACAATTGTCTTTTTTTTCTCATTTAAAGACTTTATATTTAAAAAATAATTGATATTGTTTTTCCGGTTTAAAGTTTTATTATTTATTTCCCTTAACCAATGCAATTTAAACAATTTAAACATTTAAATAGTGAAAATTTTTGGTCTCAATTGATTGACTTCATAATTGTAAGGACACAAAATAAATTATGATGACCTCATTTTGCTGTAATTATACACACACAAACATAAGAAACCACACGACGATTATAGTAACCAGCATTGACTCTTGCATGCAAGTAAAACGTAATAAGGATGCAAAAGGATCTTCTGCACCTGATGTGTATTTTAATTGAACAATGAAATTGGCAGTAGCAGTAGATATAGTAAACAATACCAATACTGAAACCAACAACAACAATAATAACAGCAACAACAATAGCCAGAATGGGTACTGTATTGTCATTGCTGGAAACTCAAACAAAAGCACAACATAAACATAAATGTATAATTCCGTTATAATTGAAATTTAATGCCACGCCCACAGACATGACGATTCACACTTACGAAACAATAGAATAAGTGTTCGCTTTTGCCAAGCAATTTCTATACCATATAGAGAAGTATATAGAAAGGTGAATACGTAGTGGTCTTATCCTTGCTAAGGTCCTGCCAAATTTTGTAAAATTAACTGCAACAAATGGTTAAAATTGTTAACAACCAAATTTGTAGCAATTGCTTATTTACAAATATAGCTGCACTTAATGTGCAATGTACAACATGTGGCAACAGTAGTGCTAAAGGACATCGGACACTAGCACATTAAGGACACTAGCACAAACTGCATGGCGTAATTTTCGTTAGAAATATGGTTACGAATGATAACAACAACAACAAATGCATTACAAACGTGCTTTTGTAAACAAACAGAATATAATATCAACTAAATTCGTATGCGATACTTTAAGCGCAAGGACAATAGAGAAAGGACAACACTGAAATTAGAGAAGAAATCTATTTATAATTCCAGTAATTTAATATTTATACTCTAATAATACGTACATAAAGCGCAGATATTGTAACATCAGTAATAGTAATGCCCAGCCTTGTAAGTAGGGATTGTCTTGCAACGTACATAAGCTTTATTTTTGTTTTTAGTTTGCATCCTTTTGAATCCTTGCGTAGTATGTTTGTATTATTGAAATAAAGTAGCAGGAATGAAGTTATTTCGTAGAAATAATACCAAGTGAAACAGCATTTGTAGCGATGGCATTAATACTTTAAGTTGCATAAAACGACTATAAAAAATATATATATGTGGACAGACAGAAAAAGTACATGTAACATGCGAGCAAAATGAAAATGATATGATATATCCTTGAGATGACATAAATGTGTTTGTGTGTGATATAGTTTATAAAAATTATAAAATAGCATATTTTAGTAGATTCTGCAGGTATCCTGTGACATAAGTGTTCACTTCTACATGCTGTGATACTGTTATTGTTACCATTACTGGTACGGTTTGCCAACGACATTCACAGTTATCATTTCACTACTTTATAGTGCAATGCGTTTATTTTATTCCTACTTTTGGGTTTCCTTCACAATTTTTTGTTTTTTGAATTTTTAATAGAACACATCTGCAATTTCGCTCAAAGTAGTCTTCCTTTTTATAATATTTTATATCATTGCACAGTTCAGTTTCACATTTAGTATTTTTTGTTTTGACAAATCCTTTAAATCTACATTAAGACCAATAAAAAGTATCACAGCTGTGCTCTAGCGTGGATATAAAGTTTATGTATGAAATTCGTTTCATGCAATGCATAACCTTTTTGGGTGATTAAATTGTTTAATGTGAAATTCTCTGTATTTTAGTTTCAGTTTCAGTTTCTGTTCACAATCAATTTTGTTAACACTTCTCTGGGGGGTTTTATGCGCTTAAATCGAAAAAAGTTGGAACCATAAAAACATTGACTGTTACCTTGGCATTATCTGCAGTAGTTCACACGTGAATACAAACAAGCGTACAGGATTATAAGAAGAACAATTATTTATAATACATATTTTTTGACGCAATATATCACTATAAGATATTATAAATATAAAAAGAAATAATATTCGTACATACAGTGAAAAATATGTTAAATGTACATTCTCATAAACGGACATATCTCTCTTAATCGTGTAGTGTTGCTACTCCTTAGTTTGCAGTTTTCATACATCGTATATTCCCTTATATGGGCAGTTTACTTAATGTACAAAGAAAACTGGTCCTATTGGACAAAGCAGTAAAATAATTTTTAGTGTATACTAGTCGAGTACTGTTATGAATATAGAACCTAAGTATTCTTAGAAATAGTTTTCTAAGATTGACAGTTAGTTGAGAAATAAATTGTATAATATTATTAGATTAGCGAGAACTGTGTATTGGCGATTGCTAGAGTAATAAA